TGAAGAAACACGTAACGTTCCTCGAACCAATCCATGACGATTCGACCCTTATGACATGGTGCATTATCCTGTTGGTAAACACCCTCCCCCGAGGAAAAACTGTTGCCATGAATGGGTGAACCTGGTCCGCAACTATGTTCAAGTAGCTTACAGACGTCATGGATTGTTCTATGAGGATTATGGGTCCTAATGTGCCCCATGAAAACATTGTTCCTGGGCGTGAAATTATGAAAACCTGGGCGAGCCCATTGTTACAGATGGAGGGTGGTCATAATGCAATGGCTCTTCGGTGTATACTTGATAGTTATGGTATAATTGTAGTTTTCTTTGTTGCTCAGATGATAATTAGTAAAGTAAACTAGTATGGTTTAAGAGAGCCTAAATCAAAAAATTATTTCTAAAATCATAACTGTATTTTTATTACTTTATGACATAATGAGATTAATTATCTTTTCAATGGAGGTAAAAATTTATGTGTTTTTCTCATTGAGAACTAAACAACGGGTGTGAGCCCACAAATTTGGTTTCACAACGCAAAATTTCTGGCATTGGTTTATTCCTTCATCTTGAATTTCAACTGATCTTAAAACTTTGAAGGCTCTTTTTTCTGTAATTATTTTTTCATATTTTTTTTTCTTCAAAATTTAAAATATATTCCTTATAAAACATAAATGTGAAGATTGCAAAATTTATATTTAGTTATTTTGGTTACATTTGTTCTTAAGAAACTAATGAAACAATTATAGGTTTTATTTCGTAAATGTGAAATATAATAAAAATGTTTGAATTTAGAATTTTTTACAAAAAATTTAAACGCTAATAACCAAAGAGCCAAATTAAAGCATGGACATTTTTATTTAAAAGAAATGAAATTTTTTTAAATCTAAGTTAAAAATATATGGAGGCTTAGGTACTGCTTTACATTAATCTTTTTAGTCTGCGCGTGCGTATTCCATTCTTGAGGAAAATGATATTCCCAAATGTCTTATATTCAGTTAAATATTTCGCTTAGTTTTCTTATTTTCATAACAACAAAAATTTTTGAGTAATTTTTATTTTATTTTAAAGCAGCGGTAATTATGCTGTGATGCAATTACCAAAACACAAGAATTTTCATAATCTTTTCATAAGAAAGATTTCGAAATTCAAGGAGTTGCATTATTTAATATAAATAACCAATTATAAGAGAAAATTAAAACAACTTCCCCAAATGTATATATCAGAATAAAGGATTTGTTTATGAAAAGTTTGTCGACGGAAAAATGTTGTTCCTTCTTTAACAAACAAAACTTAATTGGAATTCTTTATTTTTTTTTTTAAAAAATTAACAAATTCAAGCCATTGGCCTAATTTCAGTAACGTTTTGTTCTGTTGCTTTTGAATCTACTTTTTCTATCGTAGTACGTACCCTTTTTCCAATTTAAAATTTTTTTTCTGAAAATTTTATAAATAATTTTTATCTCATAATTCTTTTACGACATGCTAGCTCATCGTACTGGGTGAGAAAAAGTAAGGAACCAATATATAAATACTGAGCATCCCTACCGAAATCCTACCCAGAACTGAAATACATATACCAATGCAATTAAAAAAGATAAAATAATTCCATTTTCTAAATTTATTGTTATGCTAGGGGGCTAAGCCCCCTGTTCGCTGACGCTCACCAACCTCGATGATTGCTTCGCAATAATTGCTGTTTCTTGGCAGAAAACAGTTGAAATTACTCAACTAAAAATATATGTTCGAAAAAGAACGCTTGTGCCTCTCCTTCCCACTTCTAAATATTTCCCTTACGATCAAGATCTATAAGTGAACATAAATCATTTTTTTAAGTAATCATTTTTTGATATAACATTTAAAATTAAAAGTGTATTGTTATAACAAAATTGGTGAGTTCACAACTGTAATTTAATATTTTTGTTCACCAAACGGACGGTTGTATTTTAAATACAATTTTCGCCTTCATCACTTCGTTTTTTGAAAGCTCTTAAAGGTGCTTTTTCCATTGGGTGTTCGTAAAAAGTGCTTAATTTTCTCTTTTCCAAATTGTGATTTTTCCTTCAACATGTTGATTTTCGCTACGAATTATGCAGAAAGACCATGTTCCCATTGTTTCAACGTTTTCACAATTAATTCACCCCCAATCTATTTCGGTGCATCGTCAGACCGTAGCTTATGAAAACGCCATTCGATTTACATGATTCAAAAATTTTGACTATTGTCAGAAACAAAATAATTTTTTTGACATGACTGTTAAAACCAGATAAAACCGTCAATTGTCAAAAACTTTCCAACCCTGCCTAATAATGATATTCTTTTAAAGTGCTTAAAAATATTATTAGAGTGCTTGAAAAGTGCTTAAAAGGTGCTTATTTTTCGTTGAATAATTTGGCTGCGCACCCTGTAAAAGGAACACTTGTGCCTCCACTTCCCACGTTCAAATATTTCCTTTATAAAGCTATCAAGATCTATAAGTGAACATAAATCATTTTTTTAAGTAATCATTTTTTGATATAACATTTAAAATTAAAAGTGTATTGTTATAACAAAATTGGTGAGTTCACAACTGTAATTTAATATTTTTGTTCACCAAACGGATGGTTGTATTTTAAATACAATTTTCGCCTTCATCACTTCGTTTTTTGAAAGCTCTTAAAGGTGCTTTTTCCATTGGGTGTTCGTAAAAAGTGCTTAATTTTCTCTTTTCCAAATTGTGATTTTTCCTTCAACATGTTGATTTTCGCTACGAATTATGCAGAAAGACCATGTTCCCATTGTTTCAACGTTTTCACAATTAATTCACCCCCAATCTATTTCGGTGCATCGTCAGACCGTAGCTCATGAAAACGCCATTCGATTTACATGATTCAAAAATTTTGACTATTGTCAGAAACAAAATAATTTTTTTGACATGACTGTTAAAACCAGATAAAACCGTCAATTGTCAAAAACTTTCCAACCCTGCCTAATAATGATATTCTTTTAAAGTGCTTAAAAATATTATTAGAGTGCTTGAAAAGTGCTTAAAAGGTGCTTATTTTTCGTTGAATAATTTGGCTGCGCACCCTGTAAAAGGAACACTTGTGCCTCCACTTCCCACGTTCAAATATTTCCTTTATAAAGCTATCAAGATCTATAAGTGAACATAAATCATTTTTTTAAGTAATCATTTTTTGATATAACATTTAAAATTAAAAGTGTATTGTTATAACAAAATTGGTGAGTTCACAACTGTAATTTAATATTTTTGTTCACCAAACGGATGGTTGTATTTTAAATACAATTTTCGCCTTCATCACTTCGTTTTTTGAAAGCTC